TACTCCGAAATGCTGTGTTTTCTCTTAATAAAGAAGTTGGCATCCATAAATTCTCTTAATAGGTGTATCACTTCTAAATGCCATTCAAGATCTCATTCACTTGGTTGATAATGTGTCCATGTACCTAGGCTGCGTGGATGGTTGCGCATAATATCAATCACTGGTTTGTTTGGTCCACACCCAGGCAACCGCCATGTAGCTGAAATATTGCTGAGTGCGACGTTAAACAACAACCAGGCACGGTGTCCCGATGATCCCACTGACTTGGAATTAGAAGCGGTCGTAAAATATACTCACACCAGATTTTCATACCAAAAATATATTTATTTAAACCCAGTCATTGTTAAACATAACAATGAAATAACACAATTTAATGAAAATAATACGACAATACATAAGTTATATGCCTATGATGATTATTATCATCATCATATACATGCATATCTTTCTGTAACATCCCCACTAGTTGTGGAAAGATACCATTCATCTTCAAGTCGGGGCGGTTGGGTAGCTAAGATGATCATTACTCCAATACTAGGGGCGGTCGGGTAGCCTAGTGGTTAAAGCGTTCGCTCATTACGCTGAAGAGCCGGGTTCGATTCCCGACATGGGTACAATGTGTGAAGCCCAATTCTGGTGTCCCCCGCCGTGATATTGCTGAAAATTGCTAAAAGCAGCGTAAAACCATACTCAGTCACTCACTCATCTTCCAGTAAAGGTCACCAGTCTTAAAAAACACACAGAGCAAACCAAGTTTTTTCTACATTTTTTTACCAAAAAAATGAGTTAAACAAATGACAACATCCCACTCGCTACTCATAATTATGGATCACCTCTCCCTTCCTCTGCCCTCCCAATTAATGTTGATAGTCAAGTTCAGTTTTCACCCACTTTAAATTAACTTAATTACCAGTATATACCAAAGCATAGTCCCATTTCAATGCACTGGGGCAGAGAATCCATAATTTGTAGATTAAATAATATTTGTACAGGTATAAGGAAGGGATTCAAAATCTCAAGTATTATCACATGTGAGACCATAGAATTGGGTGAGTAAGCGTCTGTCTGGTTATTTAGTGGAAGGCAATATTCAATTATGTACTTGTGATGTGTATGTTCTGTAATACTCTGATCTATGTCAGAGATGGTTGGACGTTGCCATACTATAACCTAGATTTAGGATAGTTGTAGCGCTAAGATCATATGACTCCCATACTATAACGTAGACTTATGATAGTCATAGCGCTAAGATGATCATTACTCCAATACTGTAACGTAGACTTACGATAGTCATAGCGCTAAGATGATCATTACTCCAATACTATAACATAGACTTATGATAGTCATAGCGCTAAGATGATCATTACTCCAATACTATAACGTAGACTTATGATAGTTATAGCGCTAAGATGATCATTACTCCAATACTATAAGGTAGCCTTACGATAGTTGAAGCGCTAAGATGAAAATTACTCCCATACTATAACGTAGGCTATAACTTGTGTGTGTGTGTGTGTGTGTGTGTGTGTGTGTGTGTGTGTGTGTGTGTGTCCCTTAATGCTGAGCGTAATGCCAAGGTAACAACAAGTACCATCTTTAAACGTCTTTGGGTATGACACTACTGGGAATCGAACTCCAAACCTTCCGTTCTCTGGGTGGACGCTCTACCACTAGAACAATGAGGCGGTCATCCCTGAAATATCAGCCCCCTCCCTGTCTCCGCAATAACCAAGACAGGAACACCGATCAAACAATTTACAATCATATTGCACTTGATATTAAATAAATTGCATAATAAAATATGTGGATTTGCATAAGTTGTATCAACTACCAACATATTTGAAAACAAGAATTATCACTATCACAATCATGATAATGATGAATATAGATCACAATCATGATCATAATGAATATAGATCACAATCATGATAATAATGAATATTGATCACAATCATGATAATAATGAATATTGATCACAATCATGATAATAATGAATATTGATCACTATCATGATAATAATGAATATAGATCACAATCATGATAATAATGAATATTGATCACAAACATGATAATAATGAATATTGATCACAATCATGATTTCAATGCATATTGATCACAATCATGATAATGAATATTGATCACTATCATGATAATAATGAATATTCATCACAATCATGATAATAATGAATATTGAACACAATCATGATAATGAATATTGATCACAATCATGAAATGAATATTGATCACAATCATGATAATAATGAATATTCATCACAGTCATGATAATAATGAATATTCATCACAATCATGATCATAATGAACCGTATTCGACGTAATAAGCGCCCAGGGCGCTCTCAAAATTAGAAATAAGGGGCTCTTATTAGAATATTATTTTGGTGGAAAAAACAGAGTTGAAAGATAAATTTCGTGGTTTATGCTGACGGCCTGAACTGTTTATATACGACAGATATATTTTTTCCAGAATTTAATTGCCCATAAATTAAGGGTGCATATAACACACGAGTGCGTATTATACATGAATAAATAAGTCTTGTGTACATTGATCAATCGGAAGGGGTGCTAATTGGGATTGTTCACATGCCAATATATTAGCAAACATCGTCGTGGGCACTTATTAGAGCGGGGCGCTTATTACGTCGAATACGGTATTCATCACAATCATGATCATAATGAATATTCATCACAATCATGATCATAATGAATATTCATCACAATCATGATAATAATGAATATTGATTATTTCAACATGTCCCAATGGTCGGTTTATAGAACAAGTCCAAGCCATGACCCCTATCCAACTTTGCCACCTCCATCATACATAACACTTTCTCCCATACAACCACTTTAACAACACTATCTTCCACACAACTGATCTTCCAAAAGGGTTGTTAGAATAACCAATGGACCCTCTACCAGGCTTTCAGATATAGTTGAAAGTGAGATTGTCATGCAACAACTTTAATCAGTTGAATACTGTACAACACTCTTCCATACAACAACCTGAATACTGTGGATACATTTGGGGAATTTTGACAGTGGGTGAGTTGGATTAGATGCCACTTTGAACAGTATTGCAGTTATATCAAAACCAATGATCCTAATAAACAACAACAGTGATTATCATAAGGGTGAATTGGGGTTCTGCAACGGACTAAGGGATGCAACTCTGCGCACAGCTTGATGAAGTGCCATATATGCTTCACATATTAACACAACCTCAATTTGACAAGAACCATGGATGGATGGATTGATGGATGGATGGATGGTATATATGTCTTTGCAAGAACACAATGGAGCCAAGACACTGTTACCCAACTGATATATTACAAGTGAAATAAATGTTATAAGGGATCATTTAGCTATATAACACATACATCCGACCCGTGAAGATCAGGGGTAGAATAGGTCTTCAGCAACCCATGCTTGCCGTAAAAGGCGACTATGCTTGTAAGAGGCGACTAACGGGATCAGGTGGTCAGGCTTGCTGACTTGGTTGATGCATGTCATCTATCCAAATCGTGTGGATCCATGCTCATGATATTAATCACTGGATTGTCTGGTCCTGACTTAATTATTTACAGACCGCCGTCATACAGCTGGAATATTGCTGAGTATGGCGTTAAACAACAAACCAACCAACCCACAAACATCCTATTATTGAAAAATGAAACCTAATATTTATGTCTACATGCACCAAGTGCATGTCAAAAATGTTATATTTGTGCGAGGGCAACCCTTACTTGTCCAACAAAATCAATATTTGAACACATTCAATACTCCAATGGTTCTTCACCATACTGCATCACAAAACCCTGTGTTACGTGTAATTTGTAAGCTTGACGCCAATCAGACTGGGTACTTCAAGAGTCCTATTACGTTTTACTGCAATGCGTCACAAATATATGTGACACTGGCAGCAGACCAGCCTCTGTTTCAACCTTGTTGAGTTGATGTGACCAGGGTGCAACCTAGTTTTGTTTGGTGCAGCTTGGTTTTCATGTCAACATGCACCAATTCCTTAAATTAAGATATACAAAACAAAACTCATGTTGATTCTATTATCATGAACAAATCTAATCTCTATTCCTAGACATCTTCCAAAAAGTTCAATTCATCGGCCACTTCAGAGAAGAAGTCACAACTTTAATCCCCTGGCTGCCAAGTTATTTTTCTGGCGAATATTTTTACAAGTTCTGAAAATTGAATATAGCGAGAGAATTGCGGCACTGGGTTTACCTCTGACTATAAACTTTCGAAAGAGATGTGCAATAATAAATTTCCTATCAGAAGGGATAAAATATACCTCAAATATTAAACTGGTTTGAAAAATAGACATTGCTTAGTGTTGTCTAAGATTTTGTCACTGGTAAAAACCCAATAAATTCTGCCGATTTTTATCGTACACCGATAAAATTTCTGTCATACCATTTTTTTATCTAACAGCTTTATGGAAACTGTGAGTGAAGAAAACACTGCCTAATACCTGAACGAAAGTATTTGTATGCTTATGTATAACATTATACATTCCATATGAAAAATAGCTTGCAATATTTGAGGAAAATGATTTTCTTCAACGACATCAAAAGATGACAGTGAGGTGATACAGGTAAACAAAGGAAAGGGACATAACTCCGCTATGCTTTAAACTAGGCCATTGTAGCTCACCTCACTTAGTTGAACCTGCTGCATATATTCCTCCATTTATCATTGCTTTGTTAATGACCCATAACCATGGCAACAACTAAAAACAAATGGTGGAAGTAAAACCCTCATTCCATGGACCCGAGGTAAAATATATTCATGTACAAATCAATGAAATCCTCCAAGTGATCAGCTGAAGGCACAATTGGCAGCAGATGCATATTAAACCTTATAATATTAGGTAAATACTCAGTAAACATGTATCCCACAGAGAAAGGCTAAACCTTAAAATATTGTGTCCTGATTTATTGGACACAAAATATAGGTCACCAGTGAACATGATCATGATCATGATGATAAACATGTATCCCACAGAGAAAGGCTAAACCTTAAAATATTGTGTCCTGATTTATTGGACACAAAATATAGGTCACCAGTGAACATGATCATGATGATAAACATGTATCCCACAGAGAAAGGCTAAACCTTAAAATATTGTGTCCTGATTTATTGGACACAAAATATAGGTCACCAGTGAACATGATCATGATGATAAACATGTATCCCACAGAGAAAGGCTAAACCTTAAAATATTGTGTCCTGATTTATTGGACACAAAATATAGGTCACCAGTGAACATGATCATGATGATAAACATGTATCCCACAGAGAAAGGCTAAACCTTAAAATATTGTGGCCTGATTTATTGGACACAAAATATAGGTCATCATTGAACATGATCATGATGATATGCGCAAAGTTTGCAAAAACATTTTTGGCACAAAAAGCTGATAAAATATGTACCTTAACATTCACCCTGAAAGAACCACAGTATTTGCATAAACCTAAAAGCATGACTGAAATCAAGATCTTTATACATTCCCCATGTCTAAAGCAATAAACTAGATCAGTTCTTGGCAGCTGTGATGGCTTGAAAGAGATTCCTCCGATATTTCAACATGGCTGCCACATCCTTCACCTTGAGAAGGTCAGCCATTGAGAGGCGTCTGCAGCTTGAAGGTTCTGCTGTCTTCTTCCCACTAATAAGATGTTTCATTTCGGTGAGGGAAAAGTAAAATGATTCTGTCATAGATGACTGAGCAGCAAAGAGTTTCAGAGTCCACAGGCTAATTTTGTCAGCTGCATTTCCAGACGAGTCTTTGGGGATGAGTTCTTTCACAGTCAAGTCTGACGATGAGCAAAAGTCCTCAATCGTTTTACCAAGAAAGGACAAAGAAGTCACTTCTTCTGAGGAACATGACTTCTTGATGTTGTCAAAAATATCCAGGAAAATTGTAACAAACTCTGTGCTGTTGTCGACACAGATGGGCACAGTATGGAGGAAGCATCCCTTCGGTACAGTGAGGACCATGGGAGGATTGGACACTTTGGACAACAGAAACTGACAGTTGCTGAGGATGGTGTTGGGCTGAACTGACACTGGGATGTCAAAGTGGCAGTATTCCATCACAGACCTAACTGGGGTTGATGATGTTTTTGGCAATGACGAGTGCATCACACAACCAAACGATTCATGTTCCATTTTAGGCCTTTTGTGATTATTTTGGTGAAAGCTGTCAGTCCAAACATTAAAGACATCTTTTGAGAATGAAAGCTGCTGTTGGAATTCTTTGTCTTCACACAAATGGTATATATACTCCTTTGTGGTTCCAATGTGGATGAACTTTGAAGCATTCATCACAAGAAGATGGATATCGGTTCCTTTCAGATGATTGAACACCTTCATCCTGGTGTCCTTGAGGTCAGAGGTCATGAGACTTATATTCCCCGTCATGTCAATATATTCAGCTGTTGCCCTGGGACCGAGAGCTTGTAAGAAGTCGCCATAAGCATCAATCTCACAGGTGATATGGCCAATCTTCTTCTTCAAATCTAGGAGACTCTTCATGATGTCAGTCCCGAAGTAGAAACTGCTGTCAGTATAAACGACCTTGCCCTCAAGAGTCAAATCATCTGCAAATACAAAAGGACCTTGACCTTCAAGTATAGCTCCCTGTTTCTCCATCCTCTCGTCCGTGGGTTTCTGCAACACCTCAAGACACTCCTCAATAGAAACATGCCTCTGTCTGTTGATCTTATCCTGATCTGCAATAACATAGACACCATGTGTGCGCCCCATCTCAATGGATGAAGGATGAGCAAATGCAGTGAACCCAGTGTCGGGAATAGACCAATCCGAATCAGATCCAAGATTATACACCAGGAAGTCATCAGCACAGACGAGCAGTACCCCAGGCTTCATCTTGTCCACGAGTGACCAGTACATGGCCAGCTTGAGGTCCAGCATCTGGTACAGAGGCTCCCCGTGGGGGAGGGCCGAAAACACCTTTCCCAGGACACTGGCGCTGGGCATCCTCTGGCTCCAGCCTCCGGCATGTATCAGGAGGGTCTTCATCTGGTACATCTCTGCCCCGTATTCATCATGCAGGTGCTCTAAGGCAGTCAGGGTAGAACCCCCATTACCTAAAAAAGGACCAAGGTATTTAATAAACATATGATTCTTTGGAATAAAAATAGAAACATACAATTTTATTATAAACTGATATAGTGTATAATTATATGAATAAATCTCACATCAGTAATGCTGTATCAACAGTGTACATCTATTTTCAGTGACCATGTCTCACCAGTAGCCATGTATCACCAGTGACCCCAGTTGCCATGTCTCACCTGTAGCCATGTCTCACCAGTACCCATATTTCACCAGTACCCATGTATCATCAGTAGCCATGTTTCACAAGTAGCCATGTTTCACCAGTAGCCTTGTCTCACCAGTAGCAATGTCTCACCAGTAGCCATGTATAATCAATACCTATGTCTCACCAGTAGTCATGTCTCACCAGTAGCCATATTTCACCAGTAGCCATGTCTCACCATTAGCCATGTCTCACCACTAGCCATGTCTCACCAGTAGCCATATCTCACCAATACCCATGTCTCACCAGTAGCCATGTCTCACCAGTAGCCATATTTCACCAGTAGCCATGTCTCACCAATACCCATGTCTCATCTGTAGCCATGTCTCACCAGTAGCCATGTCTCACCAGTAGCCATATTTCACCAGTAGCCATGTCTCACCAGTAGCCATATCTCACCAGTAGTCATATTTCACCAGTAGCCATGTCTCACCAATACCCATGTCTCACCTGTTGCCATGTCTCACCAGTAGCCATGTCTCACCAGTAGTCATGTCTCACCAGTGGCCATGTCTCACCAGTAGCCATGTCTCACCAGTACCCATATTTCACCAGTACCCATGTCTCACCAGTAGCCATGTTTCACCAGTAGTCATGTCTCACCAGTAGCCATGTCTCACCAATACCCATGTCTCACCAGTAGCCATGTCTCACCAGTAGCCATATTTCACCAGTAGCCATGTCTCACCTGAAGCCATGTCTCACCAGTAGCCATGTCTCACCAATACCCATGTCTCACCTGTAGCCATGTCTCACCAGTAGCCATATTTCACCAGTAGCCATGTCTCACCAGTAGTCATGTCTCACCAGTAGTCATGTCTCACCAGTAGTCATGTCTCACCAGTAGCCATGTCTCACCAGTAGCCATATTTCACCAGTAGCCATGTCTCACCAGTAGTCATGTCTCACCAGTAGCCATGTATCACCAGTGACCCCAGTGGCCATGTCTCACCTGTAGCCATGTCTCACCAGTACCCATACTTCACCAGTACCCATGTCTCACCAGTAGCCATGTTTCACCAGTAGCCATGTCTCACCAGTAGTCATGTCTCACCAGTAGTCATGTCTCACCAGTAGCCATGTCACCTGTAGCATTGTCTCACCATTGATCATGTCTCACCTGTAGTTATGTCTACCCATGACCATGTCTCACCAGTAGCCATGTCTCACCAGTAGCCATGTCTCACCAGCAACCATGTCTCACTAGTAGTTATATCGGACACTGCTCACTAGTAGCCATCTCACCAGTGACACCCAGTACCTGTGGTGTATTCACTAAGTCAGTATTGCAAATGGCTCACCGATCCTGGTGCCAGGTGGGTCTGTGACGACATGTATAGGTAGATCTAAGGGTAGCTCCCTCCGTCCTGCCTTGTCATCAATCTGCAGCTGGAAGGCCTTCCTTTGATCTTCATCAGCCGTTGTGATGACAACCACATCCCAGAAGGGCCTGACACCGCTGTCCTTCGTCCTCCCTGCAATGTGAATAATTTGTAACAGTGGCAATGTCAATCACGTGTAAAGGTTGTCTGCAATGCGAATCAATTGTGATGTCATTCTGGAATGTGAAAAGTTTTAATGTCAGTCTGCCATGTGAATCAGTTTTAATGTCAGTCTGCAATGTGAATCAGTTGTAGTGGTAGTCTGCAATGTGTATCAGTTGCAGTAGCAGTCTGGAATGTGAATCAGTTGTAATGTAAAGTTTTTGCAAAAACCGAAGTAGCCACCTCACCATGTTATCCCCCATTTCCTAAATCCCCCCAAATCATATAAATAAAATAATCATGTAATAATACCATTCACTTCTAGTCCGATAACATTACTCCCTGTTTGGTGAAACATATGCCTACCACATGTAGTGGCCATAAAATTTCCGTGTCCCGTGATGGGATTCGAACCACAGGTCGGACGCCTTGTCCACATGACCAAAGAGGTTAACCCCGTCTGCAAGCTGACAAGGTAAGGATGTCATCTGTGGGATGACATCCACGCCCTGCTAAAACTCAAACCAGAAAGTGCCATGTCTAGTGTTGATAGTGTTGACTCCACGCCCTGCTAAAAGTCAAACCAGAAAGTGCCATGTCTAGTGTTGATAGTGTTGACACCACGCCCTGCTAAAACTCAAACCAGAAAGTGCCATGTCTAGTGTTGATTGTGTTGACTCCACGCCCTGCTAAAACTCAAACCAGAAAGTACCATGTCTAGTGTTGATAGTGTTGACTCCACGCCCTGCTAAAACTCAAACCACAAATTACCATGTCTAGTGTTGATAGTGTTGACTCCACGCCCTGCTAAAACTCAAACCAGAAAGTACCATGTCTAGTGTTGATAGTGATAGGAACCAAAACAAACCACGGATCTATCTACATCTGTTCTGGTAAAACCCACACCTGTAGAGTAATGCAAGCCTTGGAAACTAGCAACTATTTAACCAGGTTTTACAAAAGTCAGAACATTGACCTTGCCCTTCGATTAAATGACAAAACCTTATTAAAGACCCCAACCCCTTGGTAATGTATATCTTAACACATATAACATTGCATTAATATTTCTTTCAGAGAAAATGTTTTTCTCTCATGGCCTTGACCTTTGAGCTTTCCATGACATGCGCTAAAGGAATTACCAAAGATAATGTGCAAGAATTTCATGGAAGTAAATCCTCAACAATTGCTTATTGTACATACTAGACATGAGGAAAACACACCTGGTATCTAAACTTCCATCCCTTACGCTAGTCTCACACGTTTCAAATAAAAATTTCTGACGGTCAATTTAGCGATTGATTTTGAGGCAGGTGTTGCCAGGAAGACATTTCAGGAGATTTAGCAAACATTTTGCATTAATCAAGTCAAACATTAAACATTAGGATCACCATGTGTCTAGATTCTAATCAGGCATCCCACTGTGCAGTGTTCAAATGCTGGACAGAAACACTAAAATAACTGTGATATAGTAGAATCAATTGTGAATCACACCTGATGCACATCTGCAGCAATCAAGCAGAAGGAAATTTCAGTGACAGGTCACAATGTGACGGGAACTTTGTGTGTATGTGGGAGGGGAGAGGATGTCTGAAGTCGTTTATCGTACAATAAAACACTAGAGGGAAAATTAACCATGAGGGGTGTACAATAAAGCACTGCAGGGAGAATAAACCATGAGGGGCATACAATAAAACACTGCAGGGAGAATAAACCATGAGGGGCATACAATAAAACACTGAAGGGATAATAAACCATGAGGGGCATACAATAAAACACTGCAGGGAGGATAAACCATGAGGGGCATACAATAAAACACTGCAGGGAGAATAAACCATGAGGGGCATACAATAAAACACTGAAGGGATAATAAACCATGAGGGGCATACAATAAAACACTGCAGGGAGAATAAACCATGAGGGGCATACAATAAAACACTGCAGGGAGGATAAACCATGAGGGGCATACAATAAAACACTGAAGGGATAATAAACCATGAGGGGCATACAATAAAACACTGCAGGGAGGATAAACCATGAGGGGCATACAATAAAACACTGCAGGGAGAATAAACCATGAGGGGCATACAATAAAACACTGAAGGGATAATAAACCATGAGGGGCATACAATAAAACACTGAAGGGATAATAAACCATGAGGGGCATACAATAAAACACTGCTAGGAGAATAAACCATGAGGGGCATACAATAAAACACTGAAGGGAGAATAAACATGAGGGGCATACAATAAAACACTGAAGGGATAATAAACCATGAGGGGCATACAATAAAACACTGAAGGGATAATAAACCATGAGGGCCATACAATAAAACACTGCAGGGAGGATAAACCATGAGGGGCATACAATAAAACACTGAAGGGAGAATAAACATGAGGGGTGTACAATAAAACACTGCAGGGAGAATAAACCATGAGGGGCATACAATAAAACACTGCAGGGAGAATAAACCATGAGGGTCATACAATAAAACACTGCAGGGAGAATAAACCATGAGGGGCATACAATAAAACACTGCAGGAAGAATAAACCATGAGGGGCATACAATAAAACACGGATGGGATAATAAACCATGAGGGGCATACAATAAAACCCTGCAAGGAGAATAAACCATGAGGGGCATACAATAATCACGGAAGGGATAATAAACATGAGGAGCATACAATAAAACACTGCAGGGAGAATAAACCATGAGGGGCATACAATAAAACACTGCAGGGAGAATAAACCATGAGGGGCATACAATAAAACACTGCAAGGAGAATAAACCATGAGGGGCATACAATAAAACACTGAAGGGATAATAAACCATGAGGGGCATACAATAAAACACTGCAGGGAGGATAAACCATGAGAGGCATACAATAAAACACTGAAGGGAGAATAAACATGAGGGGCGTACAATAAAACATGGAAGGGATAATAAACCATGAGGGGCATACAATAAAACACTGCAGGGAGAATAAACAATGAGGGGCATACAATAAAACACTGCAGGGAGAATAAGCCATGAGAGACGTACAATAAAACACTGCAGGGAGAATAAACCATGAGGGGCATACAATAAAGACTGCAGGGAGAATAAACCACGAGGGACGTACAATAAAACACTGCAGGGAGAATAAACCACGAGGGACGTACAATAAAACACTGCAGGTAGAAAAAAACATGAGGGATGTACAATAAAACACTGCAGGCAGAATAAACCATGAGGGGCATACAATAATCACGGAAGGGATAATAAACATGAGGAGCATACAATAAAACACTGCAGGGAGAATAAACCATGAGGGGCATACAATAAAACACTGCAGGGAGAATAAACCATGAGGGGCATACAATAAAACACTGCAAGGAGAATAAACCATGAGGGGCATACAATAAAACACTGAAGGGATAATAAACCATGAGGGGCATACAATAAAACACTGCAGGGAGGATAAACCATGAGAGGCATACAATAAAACACTGAAGGGAGAATAAACATGAGGGGCGTACAATAAAACATGGAAGGGATAATAAACCATGAGGGGCATACAATAAAACACTGCAGGGAGAATAAACAATGAGGGGCATACAATAAAACACTGCAGGGAGAATAAGCCATGAGAGACGTACAATAAAACACTGCAGGGAGAATAAACCATGAGGGGCATACAATAAAACACTGCAGGGAGGATAAACCATGAGGGGCATACAATAAAACACTGCAGGGAGAATAAACCATGAGGGGCATACAATAAAACACTGAAGGGATAATAAACCATGAGGGGCATACAATAAAACACTGAAGGGATAATAAACCATGAGGGGCATACAATAAAACACTGCTAGGAGAATAAACCATGAGGGGCATACAATAAAACACTGAAGGGAGAATAAACATGAGGGGCATACAATAAAACACTGAAGGGATAATAAACCATGAGGGGCATACAATAAAACACTGAAGGGATAATAAACCATGAGGGCCATACAATAAAACACTGCAGGGAGGATAAACCATGAGGGGCATACAATAAAACACTGAAGGGAGAATACACATGAGGGGTGTACAATAAAACACTGCAGGGAGAATAAACCATGAGGGGCATACAATAAAACACTGCAGGGAGAATAAACCATGAGGGTCATACAATAAAACACTGCAGGGAGAATAAACCATGAGGGGCATACAATAAAACACTGCAGGAAGAATAAACCATGAGGGGCATACAATAAAACACGGATGGGATAATAAACCATGAGGGGCATACAATAAAACCCTGCAAGGAGAATAAACCATGAGGGGCATACAATAATCACGGAAGGGATAATAAACATGAGGAGCATACAATAAAACACTGCAGGGAGAATAAACCATGAGGGGCATACAATAAAACACTGCAGGGAGAATAAACCATGAGGGGCATACAATAAAACACTGCAAGGAGAATAAACCATGAGGGGCATACAATAAAACACTGAAGGGATAATAAACCATGAGGGGCATACAATAAAACACTGCAGGGAGGATAAACCATGAGAGGCATACAATAAAACACTGAAGGGAGAATAAACATGAGGGGCGTACAATAAAACATGGAAGGGATAATAAACCATGAGGGGCATACAATAAAACACTGCAGGGAGAATAAACAATGAGGGGCATACAATAAAACACTGCAGGGAGAATAAGCCATGAGAGACGTACAATAAAACACTGCAGGGAGAATAAACCATGAGGGGCATACAATAAAGACTGCAGGGAGAATAAACCACGAGGGACGTACAATAAAACACTGCAGGGAGAATAAACCACGAGGGACGTACAATAAAACACTGCAGGTAGAAAAAAACATGAGGGATGTACAATAAAACACTGCAGGCAGAATAAACCATGAGGGACGAACAATAAAACACTGCAGGGAGAATAAACCACGAGGGACGTACAATAGAACACTGCAGGGAGAATAAATGACGAGGGATGTAC